TAAGTTCCGAGTCCATTGTGTTCCTATGTCCCGAGTCCATTGCGTTCCCTATGTCCCGAGTCCATTGATTTCCCTATGTCCCAAGTCCACAGCACTCCTAAGTCCCGAGTCCATTGTACGCCTAAGTTCAGAGTCCACTGCACTCCTAAGTCCAGAGTCTGTACTGGAGGGCAGGCTCATAAAGAGAACCTGACACCTCCTAATGCTATCACACAGGGGATTGTTATCCCCTGTGTGATAGCAATAAAGTAAAGTGAAAAAAAGTAAAAACTAAAATACATTAAAATGAAACAAAAATTGGAAAAAAGATACAAAGTAAAAAAATAAAACAAAATTAAACGTAAAAAAATTAAATAAATAAAAATTATGAACAGCAATAATCCGCAGAGCCCAACCTGAGACCCCCACAGGCCACCTGAGACCCTACCAGGCCACCTGAGACCCCCACAGCCTACCTGAGACTCTGCACAGCCCACCTGAGATACCCCAGCCCACCTGAAACTCCGCACAGGCCACCTGAGACCCCCCTGCCCACCTGAGACTCTGTACAGCCATCCTGAGACTCTGTACAGCCATCCTGAGATCCCACACAGCCCTCCTGAGACCCTGGAGACATCAGGCCGCCACCCAGGAGCAACACAGTGTATGTAGCTTCATATTCTGCATTGCTATATAATATATTGCTGGGATTTGTAGTCCTCTATAGCTGGTGGTATTTTGCATTGCTGTATAATGTATTGCTATGTGGTGGGCCTCCATAATGGATCAGTGGCTTTAGACCCGCTTCTGTGCCCCTTTCTTTTGGTGCAGCAGCACCCCTCCCGATCCATCATGGAGTGTAGACTTGAAATCACTCAATTCCGGAGCCCAGAAGTGGCTCCTAAATTAACAAAGCAGCACTGGAATATGAAGGTGGATCAGGAGGGGAAAACATAGGCAAGGGAACAATTGGTCTAGAGCATTAAACTATGGATTGATTTGTGTGTGGGGGGCGCTAATGAAAGACTTGCCCCCGGGCACCTCATGACCTTGCTACGCCACTGTGTCCTGGTCCCATAACTGCATGAAGCCCAGATACGTTATGCAGGCCAGCAGAGTGTATAATAATGATATGTAATAACTGCATGGAGACTCAAAATCGCGATCTGTGTCCAGGTGTGAATTTTCACACCTCCTCTCCCCTCCCCCCAAGGGAGGAGTGGGTGGTACAGTCCAGGCAGTGGTGAAGTGCCTGCTGACTGTGGGGTGGATGGGAGAAGCTGCGGAGTGTAATGTGAGCACAGTGAAATGGCAGGAACTGCCTCGATCAGCTTCAGTTCCAATCCAAGGTACTAGTATTTCCCAAATAATAATGATAGCATCAGCGAAGATGGCTGACTGACTGTGTGTGTGTGTGTGCACTGTGCATCTGCAGCTATCTATATCTTACAACAAGGTGGACTTGTTAAATGGGGTGCTCACTGCTTCATACACTGTGACAAGAGGGCAAATGAAAGGGTCAGATGCGGGTCCACCTAAAACTATTTTAGTTGTTGTTCTGGGTGGACACTGGGAGGCAGTTATTTGCTGTAAAGTACTTGTACTCTGTTGTGCTTCAGAACTCTGCACAATCTGTCACCATTGCTTCACTTTACTCAGCATCATTGTTCTTAAATAAACCTGCCAGATTTGTATACAGAATTGCTGGTTAATACATGATGGGCTCATGTTAATAAATGAATGTATGATTTTGTTATGTCACTGTCAGGGACCCAGGGGGGCTGCTCCTCACCAGGCTCACCAGCGCGGGCATTGGGCTCAGGCTCCTCCTCCTGGCAGGGCATCTGGCGCTGGGTTTGCCGGTGCGCATGCGCGGTACACAGGCCGCGCGTGCGTGGGAACACGTGCGTAATGCGCCTGCGCCACTCTGCGCCCTCAGGTGCTACTCAGGCTGGGGGAGGTCCCCAGCACTCCTCACCTGCTGCTCAGCCCTGCTATTGGCTCGTGACTGAGGAAGCTTCCTGGTATAAAAAATATCAAATAAAATCAAATTTCTTCATTAGTTTTGGCCAAAATGTATTCTGCTAAATGTTTCTGGTAAAAAAAATTCCAATACGTGTATACTAAGCAGTTTGTGTGAATTGGTAGGTGCCAATTATACAGTAAGTCTTTTTAAAACAGGGGTGCCCATAAGGCCGATCGCGATCACTGGTAGATCGCGATGTCCTGGGTCTTCTCTGGATCCCCACTGCTATCCCCCATCTGTATGCAGTGGGAAACCGAGGAGAAGTGAACGAAGCGCTGCGGCCTTGGGCGGAGGAGGGAGCCGCTATCACAGAAGTAAGGCCGAGCAGTGAGGAGAGAGAGAGACGCTCGGCCTGGATCTGACAGCGGGCGGCTCTCTCTCTCCTCACCGCGCTCCCTCCTCCGCTGTCCCCGCAGCAGCAGCGCTTCTTTTTCTTCTCCTCGGATCCCCCGCTGCGGAGGAGGATCGGTACATATTAGTGATATGTACCGGTCCTCTGTGCAGAGCAAACTCTGGAACGATCAGCTGATCACCCCAGTGTTTGTAAATAACTGGGGACACATAGTACTATGTGTCCCCAGTTATGAATGAACAGGATGTGATTTACATTACTTCCTGTTCATTCATGAGTTTCTTAATGGGGAGTAGCGCTCTGTACAGAGGCTCCTCCCCATTCAGAAACTGGATGATAGTAAAATAGTTTCTGAATGAATGGGAAGCCTCTGTAAGGGGGCACGTTTTTTTTCTTCGCTTCGGGCGCAAAAGGAGCTGGCTACGTCTATGCTCCCGCGGTGCTCATGTGGCTGCCAGGTGAATGTGTTAGACGCCGCAGACGGAAAGGGGCAGGACACCTCTCCCCGTACGCAACATCGGCCACACGAGCACCGCAGGAGGACAGGATGCCGGTGCCTCTAGAACGCACTGGAATGCAAGCCGGCTGACTCCCTGCGTTCAGGGGCGGGAGGGGGTGTGGGGTTGTATTGAAGTCAATGGCACCGCAGCCATGCCCCCCGCCCACAGCATTTTTGCAGATCGCACAGGACCGGAACGCAGGCACAGTTCTGGGTGCGGGTGATCGCACTTCGGGTGAGGAAAAATAAATTATCTACAGCCCTGCACTACAATGATTTTAACTGTTAAGATATTAGCCACAAAGGCAGTGTATTGTTTGCACCGCTCCAAGCTCGATCCCGTGATGGATTGCAATCCCAATACAAATTAGTAAACTAAATGTGAGATCGTAGTCCATCATGGGAGCGAGCTTGGAGTGGTAACTACTTTACAGCTAACAGCGGGATCTTGGAGAACAAAAGTAGCCACCCTCCAGAAGGAAGGACAGTGTAACTACGAATTCAGAGATGGCTTGAGGATCTACAGCTGAGTGATGCACGAATAAGATACATTTTTGTTAAAAGTTGAGGTATTAGAATGCATTTTTAATATTTAACTGTAGCTCTAACTTTAGTGTCACTTTAAACTAAGATATAGTAATGGGTGCAATATTAAAAATCACCACTAGATGTCAATATAAATCAACACTTATTATAGACGTTCACATCACCAGGGCTCAGTTGTAAAAGCACAGTGTGTACAGTATTTTTGGGGGTATTTTTGTTCTCTATGGTCCCTGTATGTGTGTTGAAAAGTAGCCACCTCTCGTGATATACTATAATAAACTATAATGAGAGTGTCTATTGACACCAGGATATGATCTAGGATTCAGTTGGCTGTTTTTGTGATGGAAAAAATTGCCCTATGCATTAATATTTATGAGTTTTTGTGTTGTGCCTAAATGTATATTTTAAAGTGACACTAAACTCAGGAGTTAAATCTTAAAAATACATTCAAGTACCCTAACTATTAACAAAAATGTATCTTATTCGTGTATCACCCGGATTTCAATTAATCTCTGAACTCATGCTGAAACTGTCCTTCCTTCTGGAGGGTGGCTACTTTTGTTCTCCATGGTCCCTGTGTGTGTTGTAAAGTAATCACCGCTCCAAGATCACTCCCATGATGGACTACAGTCTCATGTTTATTTTACTAATTTGTATTGAGGTTGTAGTCTATCACAGGAGTGAGCTTGGAGTGGTGGCTACTTTACAACACATACAGGGACCATGGGGAACAAAAGTAGCCACCCTCCAGAAGGAAGGACAGTGTCAGCACAAATTCAGAGATGATTTGAGGATCTACAGCTCTTGCAGTTGGTGTCCCTTTAATACTTCTTCAGACTCCTTAGTCAAGGGAATGTTTCCCAACAACCTTTATAAATTATACCCCGCACACAAAGCTGACTTACAGAAATGCAGTACCCAAGCAACCATTCATATTCTTTGCTGGAATTGAAATAACAATTAGCTATGAGCACTGTACATTTTTACTTCAGACTCTGTCAAATAACTAAATGGTGTCATTAATAAGTAATACATAAATAAGATACATTTTTGCTAAATTTTTGTTAATTTAGGGTACATAAATGTATTTTAAAGATTTAACTCCTAAGTTAGTGTAACTTTTAGAGACTGATGTATAAAAACTGCTGCTAGATGGATCCCTTTATGCTCTATGCCCCTCTAATGCCATCCAGTGGCTGTAATGCTGTGCAAATACTTTCATCCAACTATATGTTGGTGATGTTTATATACATCAGCCCTAAAAGTTATAAAAGAAACACAAACCACTTTAACCAATAAAGAAGGGCAAAGGGCAAAATATGAAGTACAGTAACCCCAAATAATCAGGAGTTATATCAGCTGCTGTCACTGTAGAGATTACTATAGGTTACAGCAATTGCAGATCATCATTGCTCTTCAACATGTTAAATAAGACTGACTGAACATAAAATAACCACTATACACCATTCCTGTTTTTTCAAGCATGATGTTTGATGTAATCGTTTTCCCTCTTGTATATTAGAACCTCCTGCCCATGTTATGCATTCATTGTATTCCCCGTAAATTTGGATAATCCAAGACATTCTTGGCCCCTGACTCACAGCAGATCTGTTTTACTGCATTGCTCAACAGAGCAGCATAGACAGCAGAAGTTTGGAAAAGGCAGTGAGACACAACACCGCAAAGAAAGTACAACATTCTGACAGGAGGGTAAGGCTATTTTATTTCTCCAACCACAGTACTACAGCGTATAATTGCCATAATATGCTTGTGGGTCACCAACAATTGTTACTGGGGTCAAAACAAAAATCTAGGGACTTGACATATATAATGTTTTACTTTTAACATGGGGTATTACTCTGGAAAGGTATTGTCAAAATAACAGTAAATTGTAAAGTTAGCTGTTCAAAATATAAACATGTGTGATGCTGTAGGTACCATAATTACTGGCAAGGAACTACAAGGGAAATTTGTAAGCTTGTAAGGAACTACGAGGGAAATGTATCAAAACTGGAGCAGGCAAAATCTGGAGCAGTTGTGCATGGCAACCAATCAGCTTCTTTCAGTTTCAAAGCTTAACTGAACAAACTGAAGAGGGAAGCTGATTGGTTGCCATGGGCAACTGGTCCATGTTTTGTCTGCTACAGTTTTGATAAATTCCGCTCTACATGCCTTGTAGTTACAGTAACGCAGACTAAAGATTAATGGGAGCTCTCATTTTCTATGTTTTTTACTTTATTTCTTATTATTTAAGAATAGTATTTTCATATTATTTTTAAAGGTTTAATTATTTTACAAAAAATATGTTATTTTCCATACTTACAAGAAAAACAATGTAACTGTTGTGAAAGCTTCCCCATGGACAGTCAGATCTGTGTAGACTCTTATAAACTCTGCAGGATGCCATCCAAAATAACATTTTGCCTACTAAATGTGTGTATATAGAGTGATTAATCAGTACAAAGGATGATACAAGATAATATCTATTACCAAGATCAAACTGATGGGGTCTGGGGTATCGGAAAACAATAGAAACTGCAAAAGATATTTTTCCTACGAACATATCCCTTTTAGTTAGGGATACACTGATACCTATACTAGTATTTGGAAAGCCGGGTTGCAAGTCATTACACGCTGCCCGGCTTCCTAATTCCAAGAAGCCGGCTCAATGCTCCCTCATTACCAGGGAGCATGGAGCTGGCCCCCCGGATTCCTGATTGGTCGGAAAGCTGGCCAATCAGGAAGTCGGCTCCATGCTTCCTCGTCATCTGATGACAAGGAAGCATGGAGCCGCCTTCCCGGCTAATCAGGAAACCGGGCAGCCACCCGGGTTCCTTAATGGGACTTCCAGTATCGGTATTCGGTATCGGTGAGTACCGGAAAAAATATCGGCACGGTGCTTGTACTCGATCCTAAAAAAAACTTCAGGGAGGCTAACTTTGATAAGCTGCGCCAGCTCATGTGTTAAATCAAATGGAAAAGCTTATTTCAGAAACTGAGCACTGAACAGAAGTGGGAATGTTGTAAGAACACATTACAAAAGACTATTGCCAAGTGTATAACATTGGGGAACAAAATAAAAAGGTCAAAAACTAAGCTGGTATGGTTAAATAGATGGGTAAAGCAACACATCAAGGACAAGAGAGTGGCATTTAGAAAATATAAGATGGAGGGGACGGCATTGGCGTTCGATAATTACAAAGAATGTAACAAAAGATGTAAAAAAAGTAATTTGGGCAGCTAAAATAGAGTGTGAAAAACATATAGCCACAGTTAGTAAAAATAACCCCAAAAAGTTTTACCAGTACATAAACAGTAAAAGAGTAAGGAAGGAGCAGATAGGCCCAATAATGGATGATAACAGGGAGTTAGTCACAAACGACAGGGAGAGGGCCGAGGCGCTGAATACCTTTTTCTCATCAGTTTACACTAAGGAAAAAGACCGGGCTATTATGCATAGGAACGCACATAGTTCATCTCAAAATATTCTACAGTGGTTGACAGAAACCGAGATACAACACAGACTCAAACTACTTAATGCAAATAATAATCTACACCCCGAGGTACTTAAAGAACTAAGCCAGGTTATAACGGGACCATTATACATCATTTTTAAAGACTCCTTAATGACTGACAGAGTACCAAGTGACTGGCGGAGGGCTACGATAATTCCAATATTCAAAAAAGGGTCCAGATGCCATCCGGGGAACTACAGACCGGTTAGCTTTACATCGGTAGTGTGCAAGATGTTAGAGGGTATGATAAAGGACCACTTAGTAGAATCTGTTCACGATAATGGCATAGTAAATGACAACCAGCATGGATTTAGGAAAGACCGTTCCTGTCAGACTAACCTGCTAACTTTTTACGAAGGGTAAGTAGAGATCTGGATGGAGGGATTCCAGTGGATGTGGTATATTTGGACTTTTCTAAATCATTTGACACGGTACCACATAAACGTTTACTGCACAAGCTGAGATCGATGGGCAGAGATGAAATAGTGTGTACAAGGATAGAAAACTGGCTACAGGAACGTGTACGGAATGTATCGATGCATGGCACCTTCTCGGATTGGGCTAGGGTTAGGGCTAGGGTTATGAGCGGCGTGCCGCAGGGTTCTGTGCTGGGCCCCATGCTGTTTAACCTATTCATTAACGATATTGGGGAGGGGTTAAACAGCCATGTTTCAGTGGTTTGTTGATGATACCAAAATCGGGAGGGTAATAGACACTGAATTAGACACTATAACATTGCAGGGGGATCTGGATAAAATAGAGGAGTGGGCAACCACATGGCAGATGAGGTTTAATGTGGATAAATGTAGAGTTGTATACTTTGGGGTTAAAAATAAGAAAGCGGATTACACACTGATGGGAACTCCACTGGGAAGTCCGAAAGGGAAAAAGATTTGGGGGTCATTGTAGACCAAAGGCTGAATAATAGCTTGCAGTGTCAGGCTGCGGTAAACAAAGCAAGTAGGGTCCTGTCCTGTATTAAGAAGGGAATGTTTTGCAGGGACAAGTCCATTATTGTGCCACTTTATAGATCACTGGTTCGGCCTCATCTGGAGTATGCGGTCCAGTTCTGGTCACCAGTACTAAGAAAAGATGTCCTTGAACTGGAAAGAGTCCAGAAGAGGGCGACCAAACTCATAAAGGGGATGGAGGACCTGAGCTATGAGAACAGGCTACTAAAATTAAACATGTTCTCATTGGAAGTAAGGAGATTAAGGGGGGGACATGATTTTCATGTACAAAATGTTTACCGGGGATAGCAACATTAGCAGCAAACTAACAAGGACGAGAGGCCACCACCTAAAATTGGTGGAGAAAAAATTTCAGCACAAGGGGCAAAGGGGTTTCTTCTCGGTTAGATCGGTCAAGGTTTGGAACTCGCTGACACATGCTGTGATTTCGGCAGAGAGTGTGGAATCGTTCAAGAGGCGATTGGACGATTTCCTCAGGGACCGTATCCGAAGGGATGGGATCATGCTCTGCTTCAGTATGTCACAGCACATGTTGGCATTCATGTTTCCCTTAATGAACTGTAGCTCCACAGTGCCGGCAGCCCCAGACCATGACACTCCCACCACCATGCTTGACTGTAGGCAAGACACAATTGTCTTTGTACTCCTCACCTGGTTGCCGCCACATATGCTTGACACCATCTGAACCAAATAAGTTTATCTTGGTCTGCTTGTCTTCAGCAAACTGTTTGCAAGCTTTCTTGTGCATCATCTTTAGAAGAGGCTTCCTTCTGGGACGACAGCCATGCAGACCAATTTTATGCAGTGTGCGGCGTATGGTCTGAGCACTGACAGGCTGACCCCTCCCACCCCTTCAACCTCTGCAGCAATGCTGAAAGCACTCATACTTCTATTTCCCAAAGACAACCTCTGGATATGACGCTGAGTATGTGCACTCAACTTCTTTGGTCGACCATGGCGAGGCCTGTTCTGAGTGGAACATGTCCTGTTAAACCGCTGTGTGGTCTTGGCCACCGTGCTGCAGCTCAGTTTCAGGGTCTTAGCAATCTTCTTATAGCCTAGGCCATCTTCATGTAGAGCAACCATTCTTTTTTTCAGATCCTCAGAGAGTTCTTTGCCACGAGGTGTCATGTTGAACTTTCAGTGACCAGTATGAGAGAGTGAGAGTGATAACACCAGATTTAACACACCTGCTCCCCATTCACACCTGAGACCTTGTAACACTAACGAGTCACATGACACCGGGGAGGGAAAATGGCTAATTGGGCCCAATTTGGACATTTTCACTTAGGGGTGTACTCACTTTTGTTGCCAGTGGTTTAGACATTAATGACTGTGTGTTGAGTTTTTTTGAGGGGACAGCAAATGTACACTGATATACAAGCTGTACAGTCACTACTTTACATTGTAGCAAAGTGTCATTTCTTCTGTGTCGTCACATAAAATGATATAATAAAATATTTTTTAAAATGTGAGGGGTGTACTCACTTCTGTGAGATACTGTATATATAATATTTGTGGCATAGGTCATTGGTTGTTTGGACACAGATTCCACCACGCTAATTATCTAGGCACAAAGAAAAGCTTTCCTAAATGCCAAAAAAGCTTATTTCAGTCAAATGGTGGACTGGCCTTGGTTGCCCTCAAGGTAGTTTATATAAATGTATATGCCTTCTATCTTGATGATTCACACCAAAGGTCTCCAGTAAGAAACTGGTTTATCTACTGTCGTCTCCAACCACAGGCACACTAAACCACTCACATATACATGTATGTGGGTCCTCCAGGCACACAAAAATACATATTTCTACCAATAGGAACTACTAGGCCTAACGTGCACACCTGGAGCTGGGGGGATCCACTGCCAGCCATAGACCAGAACAGTCCCCCCTCCTATTCAGTCATTGGTTGCTAAGACCACTGACCTCCTAACATCCAAGGACGTCAGGTGTCTACCTCCTCTGCAGTAATTGGTTTCTAGGACCACCTGCGGTCCTAGCAACCAGTGATGTAAAATGTATTCCCCACCCCCAGCAGTACAGGAGGATGGAAGTGTATATTCTTCCGTCCTCTCCTGACGTCTAGTCCCCCTCCTGGCTCCCGCCTCCACAAAAAGGTTCAGCCCTCCAAAACAGTCCCACTTTCTCATGTGGTCCCTTGAGAAAATTGATTGCCCACACCTAGATTAAATGTTCCTCAGATTGAATGCAAAACTACCCATCTCAACTAAAACATTTTATAGTTAAAAGAGGAAAAACATAATAATATACCATTATGATTCCTTTTGCTGCATTTATTTTGCATAGGTAGGAATAGAAGGTAGGAATGGCAGTTGTCACACTTACCACCTATATAAATTGTGGTAAGCAGCACTTTACTTGCGCCAGCAACATCATGATAAAAATGGTGGGATTTTTTGGGAAAGAGAAGAGATTTTGTTGCCAGCTTCTATAGTTTGAAGTATGTTTAGGAGAGATATTCCGCTACAGCAGCCAACTGGATGGAAAGTGATATTGTATATAGCTCACCAATTTACTAAATTTCTGATTTTGAATAAACAGTATAATGAAATTGCATATGATTAAATTGTTTCAGCCGTTGTATAAAGTAAGAACATTTCTACTTTCATGGAAAACTCTGCAATTAATGTTCTACATAGGGATGAAGTTTGTGAACTGGAAAGATATGAAATAGGAGAAACAAGCTGTGGTCCCAAGATGACGTCTGAAACTCGACCATTGCAACATTAACTTAAATAGAAAGCATATGTGCCTAGAGATCCACACCCTGGAAATTGGCTCCAGGTGTGCCTGTGCTGAAGTTTTTGGGCATCAGAACAGCATAACAACCCATGTCTCATAGGGCACATCAAGCCTTTGTGGCATCTCCTAAAGAAAACCAATTGCACTAATTAAAAGACTTTAAAACATTCAAATGCTCTCCAAATTATTGACATAGAGACGTTTACTAAAAGCATTATTTTTACATTGGCCTGTGCACATATCTAATTAGGTTCATTGCAAAAAGTTTTTTTGTTTTCTTTAATCTATCTGGTACCTTAGTTAATTTGAAGTGAATGCAGCTTTCACTCAATGGGCTGGTTCCCCATCCCAGCTTGTATTTATTTTGCCTCTTGGCTGTCCTATTGAGTTGTATTGCACCACAAGACCCGGCCACTGCTCCTTCTTGTTGCAGGAGTTCTAGCACAGTGCTGTGCTAAAACTCCTATGTTGGAGGTGACAGGGTCAATAAAGAGTTAAAATAAATGGAAATTTAAATTTTTTACAAAGTAAATAATAATTGAAAAACATGAAAACCAGCCCCGCTGCCTCCATCATCTGCATGCGCATAAACGCGCAGTGTTTTCAACCGCGATTGTGTGCAACCGATCGGGCAGGGCGGTATTGCGGCGGGAAACCACGCAATCTGCCTGGCACGACTTGGGTGCCATTAGAAAATAATGGGACTGCCAGCGCGATCGGCGGTGGTGTGCAATCCATGACCGCCTGGTCATCGTGCACGAAACCGAGCGGATGGTTGGGCGGTCACGGAATCGCACACCACCGCTGATCGCGTTGGCAGTGCCATTATTTTCTAATGGCACTCCATTCGCGCCAATCAGATCGCATGGTTTCCCGCCGCAATACCGCCTGGGCGGTCCCACACGATCGCGGTTCAAAACATGAATAGGTTAAATGTTTTATTGTACTAAAACAGTCGTAAATTAAAGTTCAGAAAAAGAATCGGTAATTGGTATCGGCAAGTACATGAGGGGAAGTACTTGGTTTTGAGAAAGTGGTATCGGGACATCCCTAATTTTTATAATATGATCTGATACATATTTTCACAGAATTAATAGTGAATAAAAGGCATTGTGTTGCTTTTCTCAACAATACAGTTTCAAGCTTGCACTTTATTGTAGGATACAAATGATAGAAAAGAACAGATCTTTTATATCCAGGTTCTCCATGCAGCTGGGTGATTCAGGGTTCAACTACAGATGAAATGTTAGGGCTAAACTACATAGCAAACTTAAGGGATACTTTACAAATCATCACTGCTAGGCAGTTGTGTAAACACTCCACCTATCTGGGCTCCTGAGTATCTATTATCTATTATATGTACTTTAATGTGGACTGCTGGAACAGATGTACCCTAGACATCGTCAGAGTTTATGGCATACTCTGCTTTGCATGTCTTCTCATTTCTAGTATAGTAAATAAATGTTTTTATTAATGCCACATGTTTTCACTGTATTCCTATAAAAGGAGAGAAAGATTGAATATTTCTAGCTATAGTTTTAAATCAGCTTTTTAATACATTCCAGATGCACCAAAGCAAAAGGTGTTCAAAACAGTTTGTTTTCTTTTAAATCAGCCACAGTCTGACTAGAAAAGCCTGCTCCTGACATTACTCTGCACAGATGGACCCTTACTCTCCATGTGGGAAGCAGTGGTCTCTCTGTAGAGGTCTCACATGCCCCCTGCTGGGGAGGGGAGCGCTCATGGTATACCTTGCATGGGGCGGGCGGTTGGTAAATTAGAATGCTCAGTACCTGGCTTCCACTCTGTTCAGCATCCCACCCAGCTCACTGACATCGCTAGTTGCCAGAAGCTGGGAGGGACCCCAGCCGTAGCATCCCACTCAGCTCCTGGCAACCAGTGATGTCAGTGGCGCTGGGTGGGATGCCAGTCACAGCGTCACAGGTTGGTAAGAGCTCTTAGCAACCTGGAACACTCTGGTCAGACCCAATGAGATGCCGCCTGAGGCGGCTACTGCCACAGACTGCCTCATTATAGGGATGGCCCTGTGGGTAATGATGTCAGCCAGCATCCCCTGCCCCTTTGTTTACAGTGCTGTTTGATGTGCTGACTCTGAATGACAGCCTGGCTTATCATTCTATTTGCTCTGTGAAAGGCAAGATGGTAGAGCCCAGTAGGCGAATATCTACGTGCCTATAGATGTTGGCAAAGGAAGATTTTCTTTAACGCATATCTAAACAAACATTTGTTGCAGCAGTGCTCTTACATTTAGCTCCGCTCTCCAAGACTAGATATAATTATCTCTCTTATTACACCTTGTCAATGCAGCTAGAGCCTGTATCCCATTATATTGGAAGCGCCTGGATCCTCCCCCGCTCCACCTCTGGTTGCGGAAGGTTGAAGATGTTCGTACCATGGAGGAACTTACTGCTGCCCTACATCATAGATAGGAAAAGTTCAAGAAGACCTGTCCCTACTGGCTGGATTTCATTTATTCTCCAGAGTTTGAAACTCTTCTGAGAGTATATGACCTCATTTGCTGTGCCTCTAGGAGGCTGTACCGGATAGCCCACCATTGTTCCTCCCCTCACTCTTGCCCCCCCAATTTTGTTTGGTCTTCCTCCCTCCTGGTCTTTTTCTAGTTCTTCATTTGTTGCTCATCTTTTTCTTCAGTTGAATGCACACTTGGCTTTAAGATTCTGCAATGTATTTCATATCCCACTTTCAGCTACCTCCCAGTATGGGAATCATTTTTAAGGTGTCAGAATATGTCCTTTTCAATTGACCGTTGTGGCTTATAACTACTAGTTCAGATTGTATGCTAAATCCAATTGTCTGAGCTTGTTCCATTGCTGTTCTTGTATTGTCTCTTCTTCTATGTTTCATATCCTCTTTTTTTATTGTATGTTGTAAACTTTGTTTAAATAAAGAATTAATTTAAAAAACAACATTTGCTATTCTGTAGCTGTTCTTAGACATAGTGGTTACATGTTACAGGGGTTTTTCCCTTTACTTTTTACTAGGGATACACCAATACTGTTTTTTCCGGTATAGAGTACCAATATATATATTTTTATGGTACTCGCCTATACCGATACTGGGAGTCCCAATAGGGATGCCTGGTGGCGTGTAATTACTCATGGCTCTATGCTACCTCACTACTATTGTCACCAATACCGAGTATTTGGGCGAGTACGAGAACTTCTGGCACCAGGAAGCTGGACGGCGAGCCATTACACACTGCCCAGCTTCCTGATTGGCTGGGAAGCTGACTCCATGCTCCCTCGTCAGCAGGGAGCATGGAGCTGGCTCCCCGGCCAATCAGGCCGAGTTACTACCTGTGATTTCTGGCAAGAATAACGAGTATTTTTGCACATATTAAACAGATATAACAAAATACATTTCAATGAATATTGAACAGACAAAAAGAGAACACATAAGATAAATGAATTGATGGGGTTTACATGCACCAAATTAATTAACTTATAAAGCTTATTTGAAGGCAAACTGCAGTTTTTCTTCTAGTTTTGGGTAGAGTTAGACCCCCTATAAATGTTCCTGATAGGGAGATTTCCTCTATTTGTCCTGGGGACCATTGTCACTGCGACTGAAAGTAAGGGAAAATCAAAAAATGTTAGTTACTAGAACTGAAACAGATGTAAATAGAGCTGGTATTCCCTCACTTTGGAGAAATTCCACAGATGGGAAAAACATTACAAAAATGCCTGAACCTTAACCATTCTATGACCTTTCCTAAATGAAAAAACGTTTTGGCTTTAGATACAGTTTAAAAATTAGAATGTAAAAATGCCTCATAGTAAGGTTGTTTTTTAATGTATTAACATTGTCATGTTATTTCTCTAGCTTCTTACAATGGAAGGCTATTATTTGTCCCACTATTTTGTGTGCATCCTTGCCTTCCTTGGACTGTCTACAAAGGTAAGCTAGATTTCAAGACGCTGAAACTTTTGCATTATGAACTATATTATAAGTAATGTGGTTGGAAAATGTGTTAGACATCTCTCTTATAATGCATAATCTGTTAAAAGGTTAACCTGTCACAAAGTAAAAACTTTAGGAAGCTTTGTCTAAAACTACCACTAACCAGCTGCATATATTTCTTGTTTGGAAGCGCTACAGGTGTGACCCAGAACCCTCAAAATATCAAATACAGGGGCACCAGAAGGAGAGGTGGGCCCACCAGAATCACAAATCTAATTGTAGTCACTATGGTTTACTAAAATGGATGTCTGAAACCTTAAAAGAGAACTATTGGGTAAGTGTTTTTTCCCCATAGTTCTCTTTAGGGTCACGGGAGGACATATACTAACCTCCTCCCGTGACCCAAAGCTAAGTATATAGCGGACTATTGCCCGTGATATACAGAGAGCGCTGCAGCCGGGACGGACCCCGACAATACTGTCGAGATCCATCCAGCTGCGTGAGTGACAGCTGGCTCTGCCTATCTAGAGATAGAGCCAGCTTTGCCTGCCCCCTCCCCCGTTAGTTCCTCTACTGAGCGCTGGAAGATCGGAGAGGGGAGGAGGGAATCCTTGGGGAGCTGTGACTGACAGTCACTGCTCACTGCAGGGAGATGATCGTGAAGTGAGCAGATTGGTGCATGTTTCGGCTCACTTCCTGATTGATAGAGCCGACCTGTGGCAGCTTCTTTGTCTCAGGTCAGCTCTAACTACGAGGAACAGTGGAAATCACTCACCTCATAGATTTCCTTTAATGCTATTCTTCAAAACAATATTTAAAAAAAAAATTAGCGGCCAAGGTGGTAATCACAGATATTCATGAAAGTTCACAATATGTAACAATTTCCTTCTATGCAGTTTGTCAGTCCATAAGCCTTTCCAGAGATATGATTATTTAGTGGAGAAAAACATCCTCCACGATGACTCCACATACATCAAGGTATGGGGCTCTAAAAAGTCACCCCTAGTTAGGCCCACAAATCAACTATTTAGCCAATGCTCCTTCTGAATACTTTGTCTGCATTCAGGGACAATCACCTAGTAGCATAAAGGTGGCCCTGTGAAATTTACTGAATTTGGAATACTCTACTTTCTGCAATATTGGGGCAGGGGTTCTAACACATCATACATACAATCAAAGTATATTGGAATATTTCACTTACTGACATTGACATGATATATGATTTGCAACAAAGGACCGCACACAAGTTGTTTTATACTTCTCTTTATTTGTTAATTTTTTTTATGTTTTGTGGCAAACATTGACACTATACATGAATTGTATACATAACCAATATCATAGGCTTTTATCATGCAGGTATTGTTTTTGTATTGTGCTGTTTCTAACTGCTTATACCTTCATAGTTTATTCAAGAAATACTGTTATTTGACAACACAAAATGTACAAGTAAAGATCTGCAGAAAACAAATGTCTGTTTCATATTGTTTATTACATTTATTAGAGTAAATGTATCTGAATATGAAACTGAAAAGGCCCATCCAGCCTAGTTCACTTAATATTGACAGCGTGATTCCCTGGGACACTTTGTGGTTCAAAAAAGACGCTACTGTTTCCAAGTTGTTGGTTTTGGACAGTTTATTGCATGCAAGCATTTCCTGGGAGAAATGTTTTTCACTCATGACCACAAAACAAACTCTTGATATTTCACCAGTAAACATTCCCCAGATGTGGATTTGTGTTCCCATTAGTATGGCTGGATCTGTTATCTGACCAGAAGAAATTGTAATATCTAGCCAAGTAGCATAGTTCTACTACAGTTTTGCGTTTGCCAAAGTACATCTGCAAACTTATAAATCGACAACAGAGATCCACAGTCTTAAAGCAGAACTCCAGCAAAATATAACAAGATACAAATAAATAGCAGTCTAAAAGATGAAATGACAAAACCAGCTTTTATCGTAATTCTCACCTTTAATCCAGAGTTATCCCCTTAGTCCAATAGCCAGGATCATTCAAACAACTTTCGCTGCACACCTTTAATCCAGAGGTATCTCCTTAGTCCAATGGCCAGGATCATTCAAACCAGTTTCGCTGCACACCTTTAATCCAGAGGTATCTCCTTATTCCAATGGCCAGGATAATTCAAACCAGTTTCGCTGCACACCTTTAATCCAGAGGTATCTCCTTACTCCTATGGCCAGGATCATTCAATCCAGTTACACTGTACATCTTTAATCCAGAGGTATCTCCTTAGTCCAATGGCCAGGATCATTCAAACCAGTTTCGCTGCACACCTTTAATCCAGAGGTATCTACTTAGTCCAATGGCCAGGATCATTCAAACCAGTTTCGCTGTATACCTTTAATCCAGAGGTATCTCCTTACTCCAATGGCCAGGATCATTCAACCCAGTTTCGCTGCACTTGATATCCCTTAAAGCTGGTAAGTATGACTGCTCCTGCGTGCTACCAGGGAGTGTCTCATCAAATTTAATGATGCCTGGCTGTATCCAGCTAGTGCTGAATGTATTAATTGTGCTGGCTTTGCTTGGTTACCCTAAAGCTGGTTAGATTGACTGCTCCTGTGTGCTACGAGGGAGTGTCTCTAGTAATAGACTGGGGAATAGAGGCAGGTTATGAATATGTAAATGCTTCTCTCTCCAATCACTTGGAGTTTTGTTGCAAGTGGTGCATGCCGGGGAAGGGTATAAATATTTGGGGATAACCTTGGCTGAAGTTTTTGATCTTTAGGCTGGGTTCACACCTAGGCGTTTTTCAGCGCTGATCGAAGCGCTGAAAAACGCTCAGCAAGTGAAATCCCATTATTTCCTATAGGCATGGTTCCCACCTGGGCGTATTTCAGTGCGTCGTAACGCGCTGAAAAACGCCCTACGCCCAAAAATTACAGTAGCTTCTTTGGGGCGTATTTCTATGCGTATCCATCAGGATACAGCCAGATAGCTCTTGTAAACACGCGTTTGACGCACATATTTCGAATGCCCAGGTGTGAACCCAACCTAAGTCTTTCCCATGCATGTTCTAGTTCTGCTGTCCTACTTGGCCTGATTCTTAATTGGGCTCCACATATGTCTGGAAGAAAGAACTTGGGGTCTAGGGTCTGGAGCTTGCCTTGTGTACATGGGGAGCTTTGCTCATGTGGGAGTGCCAGAGAAGTTTTGTTGCTGGAGGGTTCTCGGACAGCTGTTTGATGCTGGAGCCTTGCGGGAAACCTGCTAACTCACTTGGGAGAATGGATAGAGCCCTCTACTCACCAGCAAAGGTACTGCCGAATTACAAAGACGCCAGTCTCGGCTTAAAGGCACTTAAGCTGGGGGCAGGGTGTGGAGTATGGTTGAAACTGTGCTCTGTGTATCTGAAGCTCTTATCCCTCTTTCCATCTGCACAACATGATGAAATCTTTAAAACACCTTAAAGTGACTGGTGCTCAGCTTGCATTTACTCCCTACAACCAGCCAAGGACTTGGCTCCCCTGAGGTGAAGTGTTAGCTCACCCTTCCTCCGGGGTCCCTCACATGTCTCACTACATGGGACATACATATTAGGGTTCGACCAAATATCAGATCTACCGATAATCGGGGGGCTGATATTCACAACTTTTTACATTATCGGTATCGGTCTTAAATTTACCGATAATATCGAAGTGCCCACAGTGAACTTTATTCTCTAGTCTTGTTGGCAAGATTTATTTTTACTTCCAGTCTTGGTTGTCTCTGTGGCAGAAATCTACAATGGGGGCTAAAACAGTAAAGAAGCTAGCAGCAGTTCAAATGTGTGTTTTGATGGCATTGTGTCCTTGTCGGAGAGATTTTCCCTATCGTCCTGTCCTGATGACAAATTTGTCACAGGGACAGGAAGTGAGGGAAAATCTCCTGAATGGAGCCTCAGAAAGCCCTACAAAAAGGCTTCCCGGAGGGGTTCTAACCATTTTCTCTGCTAGCTAAAACTGATAAGAATAGTTTTGGCTAGATATCTCTCCTTATAACTCTAAACAACAGTGAGCCTGGCTAGGAGGGAATTCATTATGAAAATCAGAACTATGACAACCAGCAGCCTACTGCTGCATCAAGGTGGCCATACAAAACGCAACCCAAAAGCTACTTTCTCTTTAAAAGTTTAAGTCTAGGGCTCCCTTGCAACCTTGGGACACTTTCTTACATACTTACATACTGATCCAATTTTTTTTAAATTACTTGTTGCAAAATGCAGATACATTTCTTTCTCAGTGGCCATCTATTTGGTAACATTGATCAGTGCAGTACATCCAACATTGGTATTGGATTTATTATGTTTATGCGAATGTATGGCTATTATTATTATTGTTGTTTGTATTCTAATTTAGTTTATTTATTTAGTTCCTTAAAGAAATCCCTTGTTTTTCTGTTATGTAAGGCTCTGGATGTCTGTCTACAAGAGCAGCTAAGACTGAAGGCCCAAGTGAGACTTCTTGAGCAGCAAACAAAGTTGCAGCAAATTAAAATTCAGCATCTGTTACGAGAAAAGGAGCTGCAGTTCATGGACCGGGGAGACGAGATGTCAGTTTTTAACCTAGGAGAACTACGAAGCTATGCGGGTATATTCATTCTACTTTCTTTTTCTACATCAAATATATATATTTTTTCTACTAAGATGATTAGAAAGACAAAGAGCGATGCGCCATAGACAGTAACTAAAGCAGCCAATGACAACTGATTTTTGTGCTAATCTGGCTATAGGTAGCTGGAGTTTGTACATTCTGATTGCTTTGTTTTGTAGAAAAAATATAACGTTAGCCTTACGCATTCTCAAAGTGGAACTCCAGGCAAAAAGTAAAAACTATATTACAGGCAGTCCCCGGTTTACGAACAAAATAGGGACTGTAGGCTTTTTCTTAAATTGAATTTGTATGTAAGTTGGAACACTTTTTTAGGTGTAACTCCAGCCCACAAACATTTTTTTTCGTTTTGGATAGCATAGGGAAGGGTTAACCCCCTGTAACATTTGTTTTGCTGTCCTCTCAGTGGCTCTAACCCCACACCTTACTAACCAAAATTAAAAAAACTAAATTTGCATGGAGTTCTACTTTAAATACAACTTGGACAGATGTGTGTACAATTTCCTGTAATGTACAGTACCAGACCAAGAAGAAGAGGCAGCCACTCCTCGCCTGCACGTCTAACAACTTCGTGTAATGTACAGGAGGTACACTACTACGAATGTCGGCGCGAGCACAGTAGCATTGCAACTAGTGGAACAGCCTGGGACCTCCGTTCGTAAGTAGGGTTTTTTTTATAGCCCACCTCCTCTGCCAATAATATTTACCTTCCCTGTGCTACAAACATCGTGTTTGCTTACTGGAGATTTTGGAAGAACATGGCTCTTCCAGGTATGGGGGAGCAATGGGGGAGCATGGATAATCCCCTTGCCCATCCAATGTCAGGTAAGAGTGAAGTGGAAAGTTCTAATTCAGAATTACTTGTTGCTTGCATACTTTTATAACTTGGATTGCAGAGGGTGATCAGGGAAGGAGGAATGTAGAAAAGGTAAATGTTAGTAGCAGAGGGGTATACAGTAGCAACAACAACCTGTTAATTTGCCCTAAAAGGTAAAATCAGTGTAAAAAATTATATTAGTTAAAAATGTGGAGCTGTTTAGATTAGATGCAACCTATTCAACCTATTAAAATATGTCTGCATATCTGAAGCTGGGAGGACTGCTAATATCTAAATTTCTAATAAAACACCCAAAATGATATGTTGTCTTCATCACCCTGCATGAAGATCATTATTAGTTACATCCATTCTGTGTTTGTGCTCACCCCACCATTCACAGCTATGGAGGTGGGGTGGCCACTGTATTTTTTAATTCTTGGAGATGTGTTTTAATGTTGGATTAATGACTATCCTATAAATAGAAAGTGCCCACATCACACATAGCATGTCATAAAACAGGTATATGAGCATTGCTATTCAGAATAAATGGCACTACAGAAAAATTCAGCTGCATTATAGCGCACAACAATGTACAGATGTGAACTGTCTGTGCCGTGGTGTGCTGCTAAAAAAGTTGTAGGCCTTTTTTTGTGCAATGAAGTACACTTTCAGCCCACTCAAAATGAATAGGGGTCCTTAATGCAGAGCACCTCAATGCACAAAAAAGTGTGTAAAGAAAAGGTATAGTGTTAACGGGCCTTCATTGTCCTTTTCAGATTGTGGTTATGTTATTTAGTAAAGCATGCCAAGTAGAGTTCTTGTTCATTTCTGAACATATATAAGTCAACTATTTAGCTGTAACTGTATAGCCATAGTATTTTGGTTGGCCATAGGGAGTGCCAGCTGATTATTAGAATGACTTGTGAGTGTTAGACTGGCATTGTGCTTCTGAAAGCCCATAATAGACTCCTATTTTTATGAAAATTGTGTAAGATAACAGTAGCTGGATTTAAAAATTAAAACTTATTCTTAGGGCATACATACATAGCAAGGTTGACAAAAACATGAAGTTTAAAGCCACTCTGTCATCACCCCCAAATATTGTCCAAAAAGACAATTAGTATTGTTCTAGCTATTTCAGTGATTATCTGAAGATATGTATGAGGATTTACTTGAATTTCTATGTTTTACTGTAGTTTTTAGTAAATGCTGTAGAGTTAAAGAAAGTCCGGGACAGCAAAAAAAACTTTTAGAAGTTACTCCACTTGCTCTGAGATAATCAATCAGTTTTAGGGCCAAAACATTCCCTAACAATCTTATTTTCCTACCTGAAATAATTGCCTCTTCTTATAATGGAAGCTAGTCATTGCAGGCTGGTCTCTGGGCAAGCGACCAGCCACGTTACTGCCCTTTGCACTATACACTGTGGGTATTCACTATAGGACTTTTTGTTAGAGTAGATTCTCCGCAAATGAGCAATGTTTACATTAGCAGGAAATGACAGGTGCTTCTAGAACTCTCTTTCCACAATGCAGTAGTGTTGCCCATGGTCATTTTACCCAGAAAAGCATTTTTGTATTTCTAATCTTTCCACATAGAAGAATTAGAACTTGTAAGAAAATGCAGACAAATGCAGCAATAATACACCAAGGAGTCAGTCGTTAAGTTATGACTAATGTAACCTTGGTCACTCATTTTTTATTCCTGCTTTTTGTGCAGACTGTGGTGACATTTACAACGATGGACACAAACAGAGTGGCTTTTACAAGATGAAACCATTGCAAAGCAATACATCATTCTATACTTACTGTGACATGTCCGATGGAGGGGGCTGGACAGTTTTTCAGAGACGCTCGGATGGAAGTCACAATTTTTATAGGTACATCTTTTTATGAAATTTCAGCTTTTTATAGCTACATTTAAAAAAAAAAATAAAAACGAAACCAAACATATTTGTCAAATCAATTTCCCAAGCAATCTTCTCAACCCACCTAGAGTGAAAATAATAAAAAAAAAAACATTAAAGGATCAGACCCAAAACGTATAGTAGTTGCTGGGTCTGCAGACTAGTTGTGCCCATTATGAGGGGTTACACTCTCTTTGTTGGATTTGTAGAATAATATTTCATATTAGAGAGATTTCCGTTGGAGATGCTGGAGCACAAAAAGATAGGTGAGAACTCCTAGGTGGACAAGAATAGAGTTGGGAATGATGGCAAGGAGTTCTTACCATTACCATTTATTTCTGTTCAGAATACACAAACAACTGAATCAAAAGGAAGGACACACCATCCTCCCTGCCTCTAGTTCATATAGCTTTATAGGGAGTATCACTGAGACAATGACAGCCTTCAGGTAAGCAGCTACTGCTGGGCCATCTTATTAGAAATCTCAGAAAGCTCTACCAACACAGTGTCATGGAAACACTCTGTATTAAATGTTTGTTTATATAATGTAGATTTTATACATATAATGAAAACATGACATATAAGATCAGTTTCTAAACATATAATCATTCAAAAGCATTGTATAAATTGAACATACGCCATTATAGTTCCCCTTAAAGTGGGGACAATTCTCCCTGGCCCCATATTAGCAGACAGACATTAGCTTGGATCAGAATTCTATTGCGTGTTTCTATGTACAATATCATGTCCATTCATCTATCCATCCGCAACTTAAACAATTCAGTCTGGATGATACTATTAAACTACAATTGCAGATATTATAAATCCACATAAACACATGATTTTCTCCTACACTAGGAACTGGACTGACTATAAACAAGGATTTGGGGATTTTTCTGCAGCAAAAGGAGAATTCTGGCTGGGAAATGATAACTTGCACTACCTGACATTGCAAGGTACTTTACATTACCAGTCACAGACCTTTTATTCTTCCACCCATAAATGACGTGAGTCCCAATCTGAACTGATATAAATCTATTTTAAATCACATTTTTTATATAAAGAAAGTTGTACGTCCTTAATAGTGCACTACTACTATTGCTGGTGCTAAACTATTATGATCTTGAAAGAGCAAAATACGTTTGCTTCAGCAACTGAAACAATGTCAATGTCATTTTTTGTGCGGTTTTTTTTGTTAGATGGTAAGGATACACGAGGATGTTAGAGTTCTCACTTATGTTCTGAACATTGATCTGGTGATGCCACTAAAGCTGGATATACATGATTAGAATCTTGTACGACTATTTGTATGAAAAATCTTGTCTGAACATTTGATAATGCCAGTAAACATTTGACAAATGTCTTTCAAAATTGTGTTTGATTTTAACATTCAATTATGAAATGAATGCAGTTTCCCCAACGACAACCACATTCAATTTTAGAAAATGTTCTTCCAAGAAAATTGTTCCATCCTTCTACGATTTTTTTTTGTCACTGCGGTTTAAAGTGAACATGTATTTGACCCCATTAACTTACTGATTAGTAAATAATTACATAACAGTAATAAGTTTCACCACTCAGGTGCTGCCATTTTGTTTTTGTTTTATTCTCTTTAATAAAACACATATTTCACTGTATGGTGAACTAGTAGGACCCAAGAAAGCCCTCTGCTAGTTTACATTATAAATTAGACCACATTAATATTAAGAAAAAAAATCAAATTAAAACACTATATTAAATAAAGTGAAGCACAAGCAGGAACCAGTAAAATGCCTCAATGACAGCATACAGCTGGTGATGGGGCTTATGCTGAACTGGCAAATAGCTAATTTTAGGAACAATTACAAGTTTTATTAAGATATATCTTGTAGATTGTAAGCCCTCACAGGCAGGGCCCTCGTTACCATCTTGTCTTGAAATGTATTGTGATTGTAATGTCTTCCTTATATTGTAAAGCGCTGTGCAAACTGTTGGCGCTGTATAAATCCTGTATTATAATAATAATAATAATACCACTTTTAAATTAAAAGCCCAATTAAAAAAAGAGGCAGATTATGTTTTCAAGGAACGTTTTCTCCACTTCTCTTACTTAATACTATAAAGTGTAATAAACTGGGCAGCAAAGTGAAAAACATCTGAAATCAAAGTTCTAAATTAGCATCGAGATATAAAGCTGCTATTTTGCACACCTCAATAAACTGCATTAAGCAATCAAAATTTCAGCAAAAATGTGTATATGTTATAATTAAACCTGGTAATAAATATTTCTGAAGGAAAGAGGTAGGGGGATAGAAAACTGTTCTATTCACTGCAGCATATAATAAGTGTATTGCCCTTCACAGTTTTTAAATTTATATATAACATGCATTTGCAAATGAATTTGCCATCTGAAATAATCATTTCATTAAAGCCACACCCTCCAGTTATGATGTTCTTCAAGAAAAATGAAATAATCTATTCATACAGACAACAATATTTGATTTTCGCATATGGTATATGCCTGTCAGAACATATCCAACTGTATTTTCATTTGTTGCATTCTGAAAGTATTTAATGAAATAAACATTTATTTTGTTATGATATTTTTCTATAACCAGATGACTACACATTGAGGATTGACCTCCAGGATTTTGAAGGACAAAAACGAACTGCTGAATATAAAAGTTTCAGAGTTGGTGATGAAAAGGTAATCGAAGAGGTCTGGAAACATTAACATGTAACACCACTTTTGGTGCAGTTATACTTGTTTTGTAGTTCCTCCAGCTTTCCCCACTAGTCTAATACTCACCTGTCCCCAATCCAGCCCAGTCATCACCAAAGAGCCCACAAATTAGCTTGCCAAAATCTTCCTGGCCTGTCCATCACATTCAATCTGCACTTTTATTCATTCCTATAGAGCGTTAGTCCAGAGAAAAGCCAAAAGACTGAGAATGTAGAGTATGCTGCAAAGGAAACAGGTAAGTATAAAAGTGGGGAAATTTACATGTAAACATATACATGTTTCATGTAATAACGATGAACAGTGATGGGACAAGGTCCAATAGCACCAATGGCAAAGCTACCAAACTATCCAGCAGTCTCAGGCTGTAAGGGCATTTATAGCTGTATAGGTCTCTTTCTGTCAGCCAGCAGGCCCTCAGCCATGGCATGGCAAAGGCCCTCTAAATCCAGCCAGCTGTCCACCCGATGCAAAGGGAGCAAATGGCAGACAGGGGACTTCCAAGTCTTTAGCAGGCAGAGTTCAGCTTCCCCCTGCAGACTCTTAAGCGTGACGGCTGTTATCTCTGCTTCTGTGCTGACCTAGATGTGGAGTTTACAGTAGGAAGGGGCACTGCTACAATGTGGCTGTTGGGGATGCTACTTCTCCCTCCACCCCACTGTACCCAGCAGCCCCTGAGGTGGTTAACCCTGGCCATGAAGCAAAATTTATGACCAAAGATGTGGACCCTGAAAAACAATGCATTATCATTGATGTACACCTTGCAAAGTAGGGCCGTATCTTGACATTATGCTGCACTTAACATTATAAAGAAAACACCTGAATGATGACACCCTATTGTACAAGTTCTGCTCCTTGTGCCATGTGATTAGGGTAGTAAACAATTCTGGTAGAATGTGCTATTGGAGGAAGCATGTAGCCTGCTTTATAAGCAGATAAACATTTCAGCTGTACAGACCCCCCCAAACAAGAAAATGGAAAGATTAATTTATGTTTCTTAACTATAAGCTATAAAGAGCTCTTTGAGTCCTCTCACCAGCCCCTAAAATGAGGTGGACAGAAGAAAGAAACGACAAAAAATAGGTCTGTGCATCAGAAGACTCTGCAAATATTTTCCTACCATAAAGAATCTTAGAGGGTCTCTACTGTTCTCAGCACACTTTATAGAGTTAAAATGTCCTTCTCATGCACAAAGTCAATATGCAAAAGCTTTTGGTCTAAGATGATTGCCTTCAAAGACAACCAGAAGAAGTCTCCGTTTCGACCCCCATTACCATTTTGCCTAATGCTTTAGTCTTTTCCTCAAAAGTTCCAGAATTTTACAGCAGACAAATATCATAATTTTCCAAAATAAAGTGGAAATTAGTAAAACAAAAACATCAATTAAATTAACCAAATACAATTTTAATCAGTTTTGTGCATCAAACATTTTATTATTACAATTTTTGTCACTGTTTTTAGAGCGGTTACCAGATTAGTTGTGGATCATATTCAGGTACAGCTGGGGACTCTCTTACTGGAGGATTTAACCCAGAAGTGCAATGGTGGGCAAACCATAATGGGATGAAATTCAGCACTTGGGATCGAGACAATGATAACTATGAGGAGAACTGTGCTGAGGAGGATAAAGGAGGATGGTGGTATAACAGGTAACATTTGGATAAGAAAGATGAGATAAGTTCCCTGTATTCTTCAAATACAGAGTTTCCCACATTTAAATGAGTAATTTAACATTATGATGGCCTTATCATGTCCAGCTGACAACTCTAAACTTGCCATTCCCAATTTAGAGTAACTTTATTGAGCTCTCTCATAAGTCTCCTAGAGGCACATTGTCTAACTAAAAAGTTCCCCTTTTTAAAATGGCAATTGGAGTTACTGTAGTGACTGTAGTGAATTATTCTTGTTTGTTCTCCACCTAGTGCTAGGTAGCCCTCATTAGGCCACAAATATCACAACACTGTAATAGGTTCAGATATCAAGCCTTCAGACATCAATATCACCCAAATGTAAATAAAAGTACCTAATTTCTTCTGCAGTTATTGAGTCTATATTCTGCTTTAATTCAAAAGTTAGTAAAACTATCTTCACATTTCTCAAATAAATGAAAAGGAAACTCAGTAAAGCCTCCAGAGAATGCCTTAAAAGGAAAGATCACCTTTTTTCTACTGATTTAGCATACATTTCTATAATTAGACTATTACACCCCAGTATCATCTATTGGGCTAAATTGGATGGTCTTTTATTCATCCCTTTTGTTCTGAGATCCTGCTACATCTATCACGTTACACTATTCCTCACTTTGTCTTCCCATTTACATGGTTTTGTGGATCTCTCTATCCCCCTTGATATTCTACCATCTTGTTCATGTTGAAGGTCTCCTCTGCCTCTCCTTCAGCTTAATATTGAGAGGGCTGCTGTATTATATATTTCATTTTCCCTGAAGTCAAGGATTTTGGGTTTACTACTTCTACCCCCACTGGTTGGTCTAAGTTTAGAACATACTTTTTTGCCCAACAGTCTTTTCCCTGAGGTCCATGTTTAGATACCCTAGGCTTCAGCCTTTTCCTTAAAAAACATTGTTTTGTTGACCACTCTAACTATTTAGCATTCCTTCACCTGTTTTTTCCTTAGACGTTTGCCTGATTCTCCTCCACAATCCTGTTGAAATCCAATGTTTTTTTTTTTCCAGATATCAGTCTCTCCTTAGTATTGCTACCTGTCCTGCTCCAGATTCCTACCCGGTGTCTCTCCTTCTAAGTAGCAATTGTCTTAAAGTGGCTCTAAACTCATAAGTTAAATCTTAAAAATGAATTTAAGTACCTTAACTAATAACAAAAATGTATCTTATTTGTGTATCACTCAGCTGTAGATCCTCAAATCATCTCTGAATTGGTGCTGATACTGTCCTTCCTTCTTGAGGGTGGCTACTTATTATTATTATACAGGATTTATATAGTGCCAACAGTTTGTGCAGCGCTTTACAATATAAGGAAGACATTACAATACAATTCAAGACAAGATGGTAAGGAAGGCCCTGCCCCTGAGGGCTTACAATCTAAAAGAGAGGGTAAAGGGGGGGCTACTTTTTTCGCCATGGTCTGTATGTGTGTTATAAAGTAGCCACTGCTCCAAGCTCGCTCCCATGATGTAACACTCAAACTATCATAAGGTACTCACTTGCATCTCAACTGCGGATGTATGGCATATGTTGCAATGTATAAACAAGTTCTTATAGGACATAAAACTGTATTACTTCATACGGTTTCCTTCCACAACAGGGCAAAAGTCTTAACAATCAGTGGCCCAGTAACGTAATGAAGGTGTGTTAGGCAGGATCATGTGTTCAAAACACAGTCTCTTCACTTGAGTCTAATACAACTAAGGAATGTCTTTCAACATTAAGAGGTCTATTCACTAAGCTGCTGTAGGCAGCCGAGTGAATGACCGACCTAAAGCGAAGAGAGCCAAAAACTGTTTGGCTATTCACTTCAGGCTGGTACGACTGATTTCTGCCGTACATCGGCTGAAATCAGCTCTACATCAGGTGGCTTTGCATGGCTTCGGGTCGGCTGAACAGAAAAATTGTTTAAAAAGTAGAAAAATAAAAATAGAAAACGATTGTGCGGAGCTAGCAATGACAGCTAGCTCCGCCCAACAGTTTTCTATTGGCCGGTGGTTCTGCTGCCATAAAAAAAAGAACATTTTTTTTGCCAATAGCAAACTAGCTATTGTACCCGCCCTCTGCTGCTGTCAATCAGTAGTGGGGACCTGATGGAGAACTGCAGCAGAGGGCAGGTGCAATGCTAGTTTGCTATTGGCTATTGCAAATTGAAATAGCCAATAGGAATCTAGCAATTCATTCCTATGGCCAAAAAATGTTTTATTTTATTTTTTCTATTCTGACACGGCTCCATGTCAGAATAAAAAAAAAGAAAAAGCAGTGTTTCTCTCCTTGGCGGCCGGGAGTGGGAGACTCCCAGAGCGCCCAGGAGAGTTAGGCTGTCTGGAGATCAGTGTCCCTGGTTAGCTGCTAACCAGGGACGCTGATCTCTCTGCAAGTGGCCGGAGCCAGCCGTAAGATGACGGCTGGCTTCGCCCAGCTGTCAGAAGCAGGCTGCTTGGCCACTTGCAGAGAGATCAGCGTCCCTGGTTACCAGCTAACCAGGGACACTGATCTCCAGACAGCCTAACTTCGCCTTTCAGCGCGGCTCAGCCGCTCGACCAAGTTCGGGAGCTGTACTGGCTACAGGGAATAGCCCGTACAGCAGCCCTTCGGTTCTACTAAACCAAAGGGGTCCTGGGGCCAAAGCTAGCCGAAGGATCGGACGAAGCTACGGCTAGATCCTTCAGCTGCTTCGTGAATAGACCCCTAAGAGTTCATGTGACAGACAGAAGTAATAGTAAGGAACATATACTTGTGGTTGAGATGGTTGAAGCTAGAGTCACACTGAGTGGGATGAGCACAGAGGAATTATCAGAGTCCAATGTTGGAAGCTGTGCTGAGGGCTGAAGACAGTTGCTTCAGGATAGTGGTCAGAAGCTGAGCAGAGGTTTATGGCTGAAGTGACTGCAGGGAGTCTCTAATATTGTCAGCAAGGTGTGTGGCTACAAAGCAGCAACATACTACAAGATGGAGAGCGAATACAGAGTTGCCGACAGTTCAGGACGAAAAGTGGTACAAAATAGCTAGATATTCTGTATGGATCGTAATTACAAGTAGTTACAAGCTTCAGGATGGAGAGCATGTACAACTGCTGTTTGCCAGCATGTTCATTGCACTAACGCCGGGGAAATGAATCCCACAGCTTAAACTGACACAGAAGGCGGGGCTGTATAACGATGCATGTATGAGTGATAGGGAGGCAGCACCACCTGCTGGAGCCAGCTCGGAGGAAAGGCAAGTATGTTACACATGGTGGTCTACAATCTCAAGTTTAGTTAGCTAATTTGTATTAAAATTATAGTTTATCGCTTGAAGTGGTGGCTATTTACAACACACACAGGGACCATGGCGAACAAATGTAGCCACCCTTCAGAAGGAAGGACAGTGTCGGTACAAATTTAGAGATGATTTGAGGATCTACAGCCGAGTGATACACAAATAAGATACATTTTTGTTAATAGTTAAGGTACTTGAATGCATTTTAAAGATTTAACTCCAGAGTTTTGTGTCACTTTAATTGCTTTCCCTTTTTCTCAGCCAGCCTTATTCAAGTATTAACTCCATTGGATATTCTACATCCGCTTAGTGTTTTCAGTGGCTTTTGGCCAAACCTCAGTTGGACTGCTTTTGCACGTCCAATATGTCCAAGAATATCTACATTCCTGTGTACCTTAAAGTGACATTAAAGTCAAAAATGTTTTTCCCTCCCCCCAATGTTAATGTCAGCACTTACCTTAAATGATGTTTCTTATTCCAATCTTCTTCTTTCGTGTCCTTTTCATCTGTCCCTCCAGCGCTGCGGCGGGTCTCCGATCCAGCGCTGACTCCTCTAAACTTGCTGGCACTTCCTGTTCCACGGTGTCTGCATGCGGGTATAGCCACGAATCCGCCCCTGAAATCATGCTCGTACTACTTTGCGGGACACGTGATTTCGTACCAGGCAGGCGTCACAAATTCACTGCAATGGCCCGCCACGCCCCCTCCGGCCCCACGAAATAGTGAGACGACTGCAATGCGAAGCAGTGCGTTCCGGCCAGAATTGGGCCGGAACGCACTGCATATGGTGTGAACGTACCCTTAGTGTAGCAAAAAATGTGACAAATAACAAATAAGAAATTTACTGGAGCTGAAATAAGTAAATAATAATTTTACTGAAATTAATTTGCTCATTAATTTTGCATAGTAATCATAAATATTTTAAGATAATTTTGTTAGCGAAAATGTTTACACTCTGATGCAATAACACATTCTCATAAAATGATGGACTTAACACTGCATAAATGATCATTTTCTTTATGTTAAATGTTTCTTTTATATTTCCACCAGGTGTCACTCTGCTAATCTAAATGGTTTTTACTACAAAGGACCTTACACATCCAAAACAGATGATGGGATTGTTTGGTACACATGGCATGGATGGTGGTATTCTTTAAAATATGTTGCCATGAAGATTAGGTCTGCAAACTTTGAACCAAATCTTGTTTGAGTTCTTTTTTAACCCTAATATTTCCAGAGATCTATTTTGTAACACAGTTATGATAAATGTGTTGCGATATTTTTTATTATGCTGAATGAAGCATACAGTTATTCTTCAAGATTTTTAACTTCATCTATAATATAAAGGAAATGAGAAACTATGTATCACCCAAAGGTTTATCCCCTTTTCTATAATCCCTCTTGTAAATATAGACTAGGCACCACCATTGTGGGCCATATAATTTCAATGATTTAGCTGTGTTGTTCATGATAAAAATAAGCAAACACAAATGGCAATAGTACCTGTGCATGTATATTCAAAAATAAACCAAAGTGGAGTGATTTGGGTGAACATATGTATGCAGTAAAATTATTGATTTCACGTTCACAGAAGTTTTATCGAAATTAGCTTAAAATTCTCCCAAAATATTCTAAACAGCCATGTAAACACTATGCAAGTGCTGGCACGGTGTTCATTGCATGTTTTCATGTCTTTGTAGACATGATAATCACATGGCTTTGTTGTTCAACAAAGGTTTAGGATTATGGATAGCTTTAGGGTTAGCGTTCCTCTGTTTCTCAATATCTAATGTCACGTTCCCAGCCAATCAGGGTCTTTTTTCTGGCAACAGAACAGGTCCAGAATAGATGACCTGAGTTTCTCTAACTGTGAGCCATTTAAAGCCCAATGCTTCCTTAAAGGAGAACTATGAAGTGAGTGCTTTTCACTCACCTCATAGTTCTAACTTAATTTTGCTTTCACCACTGACTGTAATGCATTTAGCTGAAATGGGAAATTTTGTTAAAATGATCAGAATTTCTCCAATAGTATTGTCACTGAAATAGTAATGTGGCTCATTTTTATTCAAGTTGTGTTATTAAAGTGTTTAACCTCATAGAACAGTAGCCGAATACAGACACTGTGTTACTTCACAGCCACCAAGCAAATTGTACCTTGTCAGAAAATGAAAAGGAATAAAAGTGGATCAATTCACAAAACATATATTTTATATATTATTTTATTACATGTAAAAATCTATATTTTACAAATATTTATTATCTGGTCCACCCATGACTTCAGTTTGCAATACTAAGGAATCTAAAAGCAAAGCCTAACATTGCCTGTAGAATTTAGCCTACACTTTTACTTTTCTATTGGCAAGAACTGTGAAATTGGTGAGGATTGGGCCAAGATGGATGGAGCCAAATAAAGGGCAAACCCTTGGGGTGTTAGTGGTGAAGAATACTTATGCAACCAAAAATGTCCGTTTTTTAAAATAACATCTGTGTCATAAAGACTTTGAAGATTTTAATGTGTTCTGTAAAAAATGAAAACAAATTAAAATCATATTAATTCCAGGTTGTAATAATTGTATACAATATGATAGTCGAAGGGGGTGAATCCTTATGTAGACACCTGTACCTCTTTTTATACACAGTGCCCAAAACATTCCTATTGATTGCACTGCCTCATAGTTCTCCATTATACAATATACATTGGGGTTGACATACTAAAGGCAAAAAGGCTGCTCACTTTGTAAGAGAGGTTTCTCTTTGCAAGGGAATTTTCGCTTGACTTAGTGAATGTGGTGAAAATTCACTATGAAAAAAATTCAAACGCAAGGCAAATAAAAAAAAACCACAGTATTTTGCTTGCACATTATTGGATGATGGAATCATTCATTAAGCTAAGAGAAACTTCCCTAGTGAACAGCCTATTTACCTTTAGTAAATAACTCCCTTTGTCTCATACCTCTTAATTATTTGCAATGCCTTATGATTTTTGATCCAGTGCACCATATTGATTATTATTAATGGTGACTATCGAGTGTATGGGATAGTACACAACCAACTCCAAGCCAAGCATGACCAATTTTCGAGCCTCTAGAAAGGGAACAATCCTGTAACTGACAGAATATCCAAGGCACACAAAATACAGAGCTAGGACCTCGGTAAAGGTGGGTGCTGATTGCATGGTGTAACATATGTCACTTGTACACCTTCAAATTTCAGGATTGCACCCCTTTTGCCTAAGCATAGATGACCCAATGGGACCTAAAGCGTTAACATAAAAATATCTTGGGGTGTATATAACAGTAAAAAATAATTGTTTTGGATAGAGAAGGGAAGGATCAAGTCCCACTCCCACTGGGTAGATTGACCATGACCATCATTTTACAGTTGGCTCCAGAACAAGAGGTTGCAGTGTCAACCATCTAGCTCAGTGGTCCACCAACCTCCGGGCCGCGGATCAAATGGTACCGGGCCACCCACGGCGGGGGCGCTGCGAGCGCTGAGAGCGGGGGGCAGGGAGCGCCGAGAACAGGGGGCGGGGACGGAGCGTGGAGCGCTCAGAGCGGGGACAGAGCTTGGAGAGCCGAGAGCAGGGGGCGGGGACAGAGCGGGGGGCATGGAGTAGTGACAGGCTCTGTCACCTCCCTCAGCCTCTGTCCTCAGCGGCTGCTGCTCATTCCTGTCACACAGGAGTTCTAGCAACAGTGCCTGCTAGAACTCCTGTGTTGGAGGTGACAGGTTGAATAAAGTGTACCTGTCACCTCCAAATGTTATCACACAGGGGATTTGTTAACCCCTGTGTAATAGCAATACAGTTAAGTTTAAAAATAAATAGTTAAAAAAAATATATATATTAAAAACGTAACAAAATAAAAAGGTGATAAAGTAAAAATAATAAAACAAAACAAAAATACCAAATATGATATAATAAGTCTTTACTGTTTGTGTTCCTCAAGCTTTAAATCATATTTAAATTTAGGTCCTATGTGCAGTGCTCTATCGGTATGTCACATTAGCAGGGCTATTATCCAAATTTCAGTGTAATAGCAATACAGTTAAGTTTAAAAAATAAATAGTAAAAAATATTAAAAACGTAACAAAATAAAAATGTAAAAAATAAAAATAATAAAACAAACAAAATGTTTCCAAAGTAAATAAAAATTGAATAATTGAATAAATAAGGATTATTAAATCAAAACAATCTAAAATATAAACAATCAACGCCCCCCCCCTCAGCGGGCCGCGGTAAAATTATCAAACGTTGACCGGTCCACGGCGATAAAAAGGTTGGGGAGCACTGATCTAGCTCACCAAACATGCTACAATCTGATTGTACAATTTTCTTTAGATCTACCAACAAGTATGTACTGTAGTGCAAGAGCCTGCCTAACTGAATACAGATTGATTGGATGGATTAGGTAGGCTCTCATATTATGTAGTTTTGTTAAATCTAAAGTTAAAGTACATAGATTGTATTGTCAGAATGTTACATGTGTGGTGACAATTAGAAGGGAAACTATTAACTTTCTAGATACTACGTCTTACTTTGTGTTGTATCATCGCCCTGGATTAGTGCCATGTGTTTTCACGGTGCTGGCGGCCAGCCTGTCTGCACTATGGAAGCACATAACACTGTGTGAAAATTTCACGGCGCCCCTGAGGAAGCCAGACAGCAACCCAGGGATGGTGCCGCTGCACCCTGGTTGAAAAAGGCTGTTCTATAAACATTCCATCATCATGCCATATTTTCAAGAAAAATTAACACATGAATTTTCTGACATTTTTAGAATCATAGTAGCTGCAGATGGATATGGTAAAGGAATTTATAATAATAAATAACAAAGTGGTTTGTTTACAAATTATATTAGATCACTTTTTAAAGTTAAGTGAAAACCCTGCTAAATGGCAACTGAAAATGTTAATTTCCTTTTAAAATGTCCAGCAAAGGGAAGAAAATCTGACATATGAAAGTAGGTTGTCATGTGAATGGTCACATGCCATCACAGGATTATTAATGAAAGAAGTGGATAACTAGCAATGCAATACTTGGAAGGAGAACACTGGAATCATACCAATGTTCTGTACTGTAATGTAATAATTCCTGACAGGCTCAGACATGCACAGGAATCAAGTGTTCTGAAACGCCAGCCCTTGCTGTGCTGACGGATCACACTCTTACAATTAAACCATGCACAATCTAATCAAGCATGTCAACAGTGTTTCCATAATAAACGTGCAATGTACAGTGAACTACAGCCCAGCATGATAAACCCCCCATTGTGCTGTAATGGTTCTGGTATTTTAGCTTGTCTTGCAAGCTGTGTTTCAACAAGATGCTTTTTTTTTAATACTCTAAAACTGTCATAGCAACAGTTCCTTATTTCCTAGGACTGGCACGGGTTTTCACAACATGTTGCTGGAAATTTTCATCTCAGTAAATATGTTTCCAATGCTAGTCTGTGGCACAGTTTAAAGTGCATGTACATTTAGTGGAACTTGAATTCTAAACAGAATAAATAACACTGTTACTGATATGCAAATTTTGACTGCTTGTCAGCGGTCAGCAGCTCGATGTCCACCACTAACCACCCTCCCTGGACACTGACATGTGCACAGAGATACAGGTCTGTCCCCGGAAGAACTGCGGTTTTCAATTGTTCTTTTGCTCTTTTATGTGCCCATACACAGGAGACATTGTAAAGCATGAACAATTCCATTGCTATTATACAGTGTTTCTGTTTGGGGAGTTCCGCAAGTTAATACACTATACAGAAGTGGTATGTGTTAACTGAAAAAATGATTGTTTGAGGGCCCGTTCACACCGCATCCAGATCATCTCCAGACCAGACCAGATTATTTCCGGGCTCAAAATGCATCCTAATGTATCCCTATGCTATTTCTGGCCTCTGTTCCCACTAACGCAGTCTGTCCCAGACCAGAAGAATACTGCATGTCTCATTTTACCCGGTCTGGAATGCACTGGAACGCATGGAAATGCATCAAAAATGCATACAAACGCACTGGACCGCACCTGAATGCCCATTGTAAGCTATAAAAAAGCAAAAAAAAAAACCACAGCTCTGCAACACAGCAAAATCGCGGTAAAAGCACAGCAAAACGCAATGCACCGCGTTCCAGATATGGTCCGGAAAATGGTGTGAACCTGGCCTGAAAGTATAAGAGGCTAATTTATAAAGTCATGGCCTAAAAAACAAAACTCCAACACAACATTCACAAATGTGCTCAGGTTTCCTTGCTTTGGGACTTTGAAGTAAGCAAAA